GGTCCAGAAAAAGAGAGCACAAAAGCAGTGCAAGATTATCATTGAAAGGTGGGTCGATTGTGGGGTTTTGCATTCCGTCTCGGGTGGCGCCAAATCAGCCTTTCGAAACGTTATTTTTATCCATTTTTTTATTCAATAATATTATTTGATTTTTTGTTATTAACTTAATTTATTATAGTTATGGTATGATAATGGGTTCCAATCAATAATAGACCTCAATGTCCATCCAACGACAATGCTTAATTAAATTAATAGATTAATACAATAAATTAAATACAAGTTACATCATTCTTTATCTGTTGTAAGATAAATATTAGATTGGTCTCGTATACTAATTAAATATTCTTAAATTCCTTTATTTGTTAGGTGTGAGGCTTCCATATCATTTATACAATCAAATTTGGTTTAAATTTATTCAAACTAACAAAAATCCTTCTATAAAGGACATATATATACATAAAATAATATTAATTATTTTTAATTTTTTGTGGAGGGGAGGGGGACTTGAACCGTTGTTTTTTGGAGGGAATGAAAACTTAAAACATTGACCTCAAAAAGACAAAATCATCATAAAAAAATGAGTATCATTGGATTAATGGTCCATTGATATTTTCTATTGATCACTACTAGTTTTTCAATCTTTTCATTAATATCACACTTTGCACTTTTCTATACAAATATTCTTTTACATTGAAAAAAGTAATGTTATTTGGATCTAAAAATTTGATCTAATTTGCTGACATAATAATGTGGCTTCATAGAAATCATTGAATTAACACCAAGTTCTACTATTTGATGGGATCTACACTCAATCCAAATGTTACAATGAATTAGGTCAACAAATTATGTCAATAAATTATGTAACATTGCTCAATTGAAAAACGTGAGCTTGTGCTACACTTTGGTGAAAACGATGGTTGCTTCAGAAATAAGTTAAAAGGATAATACATTGATACAAAATTACAAAAATATTGAAGAATTGAGATTGATTCTTCTATTAATATGCTATATGAGGGGTAGAACGAGATTATATCTAATGTTTGACATTATTTACATTAATTGACTACCCTCAAATTCGAACCCACATTCTCAAAATTAATGGACCTAATCTCAACAATTTTTAGAATCACTCCCCAAATTACTCTTTTTATCTTTAGCTATTTATCTTACAATTTTCTCTCCTCTCTTTTTCAATATTTTTCTCCTTCCTCGCCTCTTCTATTTAACAGTAATGGCCCAGATTAATTACTGGGAGTTGCAAATTAAAGAGTGGAAGAATGGGAGAGGAGAGAGTGGGGCGGGAGATGATAGAATGACGCAGGAATATAAATCTGGTATATAACACAAAAGTCTATTATCATAATATAACCCCAATAATATCTCTTCAAGACCCACACCTTGGTTGTCAGAGTTGCGTAGATGTTCGATTTGTTTAATGCACATGTAAGTCCTACCTAACCAAATATTTTAGTTGTTCCATGAATCATGCCGATAAGAATGCTATACAATTGTACCATAAAGCCAACATAAAAAATGTTAAATTGATATTAAATCATATCATTAGCACCGAAAGTTTTCAACTTTTTTCATGTTTAATGTTAATCCATGTATTATTGAAGTGGACCAGACATCTTTAATGTATTGCTTATAACACTGTTAAGAGGTCTGTGGTTGTATCTCTTCAACCACATAAATTGACAAGAAGTTTGGCATATTTAGTTGACGAGGTTGTGGTTGGATTTCTTGTGCTACAACTTCTAAACTTTTTATCTTATACGTATTCACAGTAGATATTTAAACATAATATTTTGGGGACACGATTCAAATTGATAATCATTCAAATCTTGAACCTATTAGAATGGCGAAGAAGAAGTCCACATGTTCCAGTAATAATACACCTTTTGACAATGTTACCTCGTTCTAATGTTCAAAGTGTAATTATGTGGTTTGCATGATAAGTTTCGTCAAAGTTAGGATATGATTTTCTTCATATGCAAAATATGACCTAGTGTTTAAATATTTTCTTATATTTTATAGGACAAGGATGTATTGCATGATTTGCATCTATCATAATAATCAATAAAAGTTCCATTACTGTTTGTTTTTTTTTTTTTTTTGTATTTGCAACCAAAAACGGCATAGTCCAAAAGGTATGACCCTCACTTCTCAATGGATTGGCTGAAAGAAATAAATTTTAATAAGTTTTACTATATCTCATTGTGTTGAAATATAAATACTTAAAGCTTAAGCTTTTGGAAATTTTTTGAAGTAAATGGTTGTTTAACATGATATCATAGCAAAATGTCTTGTATTTGAATCTCGTCACTACCCTAATTATTAAAAAATATTTATATGCTAGACTCAAAATCTAGCCTACATGTGAGGGGACATATTAAAATATAAATATACTCCAAAAACTCTTTAGAGTAAATAGTTATTTAGCACGTTGTTATTTTAAAAAATCATTAGCACTTAATGTTCCTGTCTTCACACAAAGTTGGTAAACACCACCTTCTAGGACTTAAGTGTCTGATTTCTCAACACAAGACATAAGTATCAATCTATGAATAACCAATGACTTGGTCTATATGGATAACTTACTTTTGACCAGATTGGGGAGAGAATTAGTTAAAGTACACATAAGTTGACCCGAACACTCCTGACTATTGAACCCAAAAAAAAAAAAACCCACCCAATTACCATGTCAGAAAAAGATTTTATAAAAATTGGTGGAACTCCATCCCTCATTTCTTAAATTTTTGATTTTTTAGATTTTTGAAAACCTTGTATAACATGTTTATATTGGTGGGTCTGCTCTTTACTCTTAATAATAATATCCTAAATTCCTCAATTGTTGTTGGTTTTAATTATGTAAACTCTTACTTGGTGTATATTATTATTGGTCCATTTTTAAATCTTAATTTATATATAACTAACATTATTCCTCAAATTTGAAAACTGTCCCTATTCACTGTATAACATATATCCCTTCTGATTTATCTATATATAGATAGATAGGATTATTTCTTTAGTTTAGTTAATTGTCATCAATTGCGCACTACCTCCATCGCTTCTAAGATATTTTTTTAATTGACTAATAGATTTATGGTTGGGTTCAAATTAATATTGAGTAACAAAACTAATATTTTGGCGACGATTTTTGTAGATAGATACAATATATGTGCTTTTTGATCGTAAAACCTAGTATCTAAAATGATACCAATAGAGAACGTGAAACATGTAAAATTTTCTTATTTTATAATTTTATCTTATTTATAGTTTTNCGTAAAATTTTCTTACTTTATAATTTTACCTTATTTATAGTTTTCATAATCAATGATTATTAATAAATCAATCGAATAACTATGGTACTTGAAAAAATTTTGTTGGTACCATACCTTTATCCTATAAACTATCATGTACTGTACCTTTTTCTTCCTACGTCATCAACTTCCAGTGGCTTTCCCCCGTCCGGACGCACTAACTTTCTGCTTNGCACGTGTGGCCCCTCTTTGAGTGGTCCATCATCTTTATTGTTTCCAATTTTTTATTTTTTTTGATAGGGAGAAAATCTGATGAGATTCGAACTTAGAACTCCTAAGCTCTGATACAATGTTAAACAAAAACCCATGAATTGTGCCAATAAGAATGTCATGTGATTGTTACGAGNATCGTGATGGTTTCTACAGATAATACCCATAAACATTAACCCATTATTAAACTTTTGAGTCACCTAACCATGTCATACACTACCATAAAAGACTTGAAAATTTCAACTCCAAGCTTTAATAAGCACCTACAAAACAAAACATAGAACTAAGCGCTATACCAAAGTATTCACACATTATATTCTTATAAGAAACTCATATGCAGTGTGAATTAATTATGCACAGTCAGAAATTGATCAAGTGCTATGTTATTTTTATCGAGTGGAATAAAAAAAATTTAATTTATGACTAAATTACTCACTTTGAACAAAATTTTTGACTTTGCCCTGCAAATAGGGAATAAGTTGAGTGTCATTACATACAAGGAAGTATTAGGTGAAGGGTTCATGGCATGTGAAAGGTAAAACGACTTGGAAAAAAGAAGAAACAAATAGAACGAATAAATACAAAAGTGGAGCCTATCATCTTAAGGCACTAATTATTAATTATCTAGAGTATATGAGGATGGTAGTACTTTGTTGACCTAAATACTCATTAAACTTTGCATATCATTTTCTCGCGGTGGTTATAATGTTTCTTCTCCGATCTTAGTATTTTAAAATTGATTGTCCCTGAACTATGCCAATAAGAACGCTATTTAGGGTGGGCTGTGTTGAACCATCATATAATCCAAAAATTTAACTTCTTAGAGAAGAGTGTAACATAAGTATTTATCTAATACATCCTTTNCTATTTAGGGTGGGCTGTGTTGAACCATCATATAATCCAAAAGTTTACCTTCTTAGAGAAGAGTGTAACATAAGTATTTATCTAATACATCCTTTCACGTGCGGCCCCTCTTTGAGTGGTCCATCATCATTATTGTTTCCATTTTTTTTTTTTTTTTGATAGGGAGAAAGTCTGATGAGATTCGAACTTAGAACTTCTAAGCTCTGATACTATGTTAAACAAAAACCCATGAATTGTGCCAATAAGAATGTCATGTGATTGTTATGAGCATCAACAGGCCAAAATAAAAATAAATAAATAATTATCAACTGTTATATACCATTAGTTTATCTTAGCATATGTATATACAATTGCACCGGGAATCTTTAATAAATTATTGCCAAAATTAGGAATTCTCTAGTCCTATGTGTTCGGCCAAGTAGACAAGAAACTTTGATAAATAATTTGAGGACTTCGTGCATTAGCATCTTCTTGTTGCAACATCCAAAACCTGCTACCATCTCTCTCTCTCTCTCTCTCTCTCTCTCTCTCTCTCTCTCTCTCTCTCTCTCTCTCTCTCACACACACACACACACACACACACACACACACACAAGAAAGAAGATGGAGCTTAAACATTTCACCCATGACCATCCACTGAATTTCGAGGATGTGCAAAAGAACGAAGGTACGGATGTTATGTGCTATGGGTGTAAAAAACCAATCTTAGATCATGCCTATTGTTGTAAAGAGTGTGATTACTTTCTACATAAGAGCTGTGCAGAACTTAAGCGGGAGATTGAAGATCCCATACACTCCGAACACCTTTTAAAACTTGACGCAGGTTCAAGTCCATACATTTGTGATGTATGTAAACAAAATTGGGATCGGTTCATCTACTATTGTAACAAGTGTGACTTTGTCATCTGCATGCCGTGTTTCTTGGAGGACCGCATGGTTAAACTTGCAATTCACCAACACCCATTAGCCGTCCTACTTAGGCCATCCTTGTTCACTTGTGATATTTGCAGCATGGAAGGTAAAGACTCATCTTATCTGTGTCACAGCTGTCAATTTTGGATCCATAAAAGTTGCGCCTCACTACCTTACACCATCAAGATTAATGATCACCATCATCCTCTCAGTTTAACCAAGCAGTATCTATATAATATTACCAATTTTAAACAGTATTGCAACAAATGTGACAAGTTCCTTTGGGCAACTTCTTCAGTTTACTGTTGTGGCCCCTGTAGATATTTTGTCCATGTAAAGTGCGCAACATCAGAGGCAGGGTCGTCAAGGTGAGTTTAATCATTTTGTCTTGTTTGTGTTCTCTCCCCTCCCTTCTCTCTGCCTCTCCATCCCCCTTAACAAAATCCTTCCAATGCTTTTAATTCTTGTCAACTAATACTTTTGCTTCTAATTTTGTGATTTCAGAGGTGCTGAAATAAGTAGCAGTAATAAAGATGACGAACTTCTTGAGTCTAATCCGGTAAATTTACCGGTGAATGATGAATTTGTAGATCTGGCTAGATATTTTGTTAAAGATATCAACATTAACGAGTTTGAGAAAGAAACAGAGATTAATAATGGGAGCCATAAGCATCCTTTACTTCTTTTCGATGTGCAAAATATCAATGAGGTGAAGGATGATAAAATCTTATGTAATGCTTGTGTGCAACCTATCTCCCTTCCATTTTACGGCTGTCGTCAATGCAATTACTTTGTGCACTTAGGTTGTGCCCACTTACCAGAGGAGGTTCAACACCCAAGTCACCCTGAACACTTGCTTGAGCTTGGGAGATCCAGTAACATCTATTTGCTCTTCGAATGTGAATGTTGCAACATGGATAGCAATGGATTCTTCTACGAGTGTCAAACTTGTANTTACGGCTGTCGTCAATGCAATTACTTTGTGCACTTAGGTTGTGCCCACTTACCAGAGGAGGTTCAACACCCAAGTCACCCTGAACACTTGCTTAAGCTTGGGAGATTCACTAGCATCTATTCGCTCATCAAATGTGACTGTTGCAACATGAATAGCAATGGATTATTCTACTGGTGTAAAACTTGTGAATTCTATGTTGATATCAAATGTGCTTTTCTACCTAGCACTATCAAACATGAATCTCACAAGCACCCCCTAGTTCAAACTGAAGGTTCACATCATGTTTGCAAGTCACATAATGTTTGCAAGTCATGTAATCACGAGTCCTCAAGGTTCATATTCAGATGTGATACTTGTAACTTCAATCTGGACTACAATTGTGCTTTGTTATCAAAAACTGTCAAGCACAGGTGGGATCAGCATCCCTTTATCCTGACCTATCGTCCTCCTAATGATCATCCCGACGAATTTCATTGTGAATTTTGCGAGGAAGAAATAAATCTACAGTATTGGATGTACTATTGTCATCATTGCGACCAATCTTTTCATGCTAGATGCATTTATGACAATTGGTCAAAAACCAAGTNAGTATTGGATGTACTATTGTCATCATTGCGACCAATCTTTTCATGCTAGATGCATTTATGACAATTGGTCAAAAACCAAGTTTGGGGGCACCGNGTTGGAGGAGCGCATGATTAAACTTGAAATTCACCAACACCCATTATCCGTCCTATTTAGACCATCCTTGTTCTTTTGTGATATTTGCAGCATGGAAGGTAAAGACTCATCTTATCTATGTCACAGCTGTCAATTTTGGATTCATAAAAGTTGTGCCTCACTACCTAACACCATCAAGATTAATGATCACCATCATCCTCTCACCTTAACCAAGCATTATCTACATAATATTACCAATTTTGGCCAGGATTGCAACATGTGTGGCAAACCCGTTTGGTCAACCTATTCGTTTTACTGTTGTGGCCCCTGTAGATATTTTGTCCATGTAAAGTGCGCAACATCAGAGGCAGGCTCATCAAGGTGAGTTTAATCGTTTTTTCTTGTTTGTGTTCTCTCCCCTCCCTACTCTCTGTCTCTCCATCCCCCTTAACAAAATCCTTGCAATGCTTTTAATTCTTGTCAACTAAAACCTTTTCTCCAATTTTTGTGATTTCAGAGGTGCAGATATAAGTAACAGTAATAAAGATGACGAACTACTTGAGTCTAATCTGGTAAATTTACCGGTGAATGAAGAATTCGTAGATCTGGTTAGACATTTTGTTAAAGATATCAACATTAACANGTAATAAAGATGACGAACTACTTGAGTCTAATCTGGTAAATTTACCGGTGAATGAAGAATTCGTAGATCTGGTTAGACATTTTGTTAAAGATATCAACATTAACAAGTTTGAGAAAAAAACCGAGATTGATGATTGGAGCCATGAGCATCCGTTACTTCTTTTCGATGTGCAAAATATCAATGAGGTGAAGGATGATAAAATCTTATGTAATGCTTGTGTGCAACGTATCTCCCTTCCATTTTACGNTTGGAGCCATGAGCATCCGTTACTTCTTTTCGATGTGCAAAATATCAATGAGGTGAAGGATGATAAAATCTTATGTAATGCTTGTGTGCAACCTATCTCCCTTCCATTTTACGGCTGTCGTCAATGCAATTACTTTGTGCACTTGGGTTGTGCCCACTTACCAGAGGAGGTTCAACACCCAAGTCACCCTGAACATTTGCTTGAGCTTGGGAGATTCACCAACATTTATTCGCTCTTCAGATGTGGCTGTTGCACCTTGTATAGCAATGGATTCTTCTACGAGTGTCAAACTTGTAATTTCCAAGTTGATATCAAATGTGCTTTTCTACCAAGCACTATCAAACATGAATCTCACAAGCACCCCCTACTTCAAACTGAAGGTTCACATCATGTTTGCAAGTCATGTAATCACGAGTCCTCAAGGTTCATATTCAGATGTGATACTTGCAACTTCAATCTGGACTACGATTGTGCTCTGTTCCCAAAAACTATCAAGCACAGGTGGGATCGGCATCCCTTTATCTTGTCCTATGATCCTCCCAATGATCATCCCGACGAATTTCATTGTGAATTTTGCGAGGAAGAAATAAATCCACANATTGATCAAGTGCTATGTTATTTTTATCGAGTGGAATAAAAAAAATTTAATTTATAACTAAATTACTCACTTTGAACAAAATTTTTGACTTTGCCCTGCAAATAGGGCGTAAGTTGAGTGTCATTACATACAAGGAAGTATTAGGTGAAGGGTTCATGGCATGTGAAAGGTAAAACGACTTGGAAAAAAGAAGAAACAAATAGAACGAATAAATACAAAAGTGGAGCCTATCATCTTAAGGCACTAATTATTAATTATCTAGAGTATATGAGGATGGTAGTACTTTGTTGACCTAAATACTCATTAAACTTTGCATATCATTTTCTCGCGGTGGTTATAATGTTTCTTCTCCGATCTTAGTATTTTAAAATTGATTGTCCCTGAACTATGCCAATAAGAACGCTATTTAGGGTGGGCTGTGTTGAACCATCATATAATCCAAAAATTTAACTTCTTAGAGAAGAGTGTAACATAAGTATTTATCTAATACATCCTTTCACGTGTGGCCCCTCTTTGAGTGGTCCATCATC